TTCCGAATGACGCAGCTGGCTCTGGCTGCGGAGGAAGTGGTTGACTTTGTAGTAGAAAGTGCAGAGAAGCTGTTTGCTCCCTACGCACGAGGCCGCCGGAGCCAACAAGCGCCTCTTTCTGTTGGCTTGGACGGGAGCTGCTCCAGCTTAGGTGGTCTTGTGCAGGGAAACTTCCCTGTAGTGGGATATTTGAGTATCAAAGAACATTCTTTGTGACTGAAAGAAAAAATATTCCCACTTGCAAATATTTACGCAGTGCCTCACCTATCCCTTGTGGGAGTCATGCACAGCCCCGCACAGACCCAGGAGCTGTCGCTCTGCTCTGTCCCTGGTGATCCATGCTGCTCTGGTGCCATCCAGTACAGAAATGTGGGAATATCTGTCCTTTCTTTCTTTTTTTTTTTTATATCAAATTTTCTAGATCCCTGATATATGCAGCACTGGATTCGGTTACACACTGCAAGTGTTCACTGGTAAATTGCTGCCATGACTCTGGTGTAACGAGAGAACAAATGTCCCTGTGGAATACAGAGATACTTATTGCTTCATAAGCTCCGGAAATCATATTCCATTTTACCCTAGCATCATCACCTTAGCTCTGCTGGTTTGGGTAACTGCCTTTAAAAAGGTGTGCTTATAATTATGTATTTTGCCTGTGTGAAGCTTTGGGGCATGTTTGGACTGCTGGTTCCTAAGTCTCTAGGTTAAATAGCTGTAAGCTCATTGGCAATCTGGAAGCTTTCAAGCTGTCAGTGGCCAGGAGTGGGGTTAGAAAAACATAAAAGAGGGTAGACGTAAAATCTACATTTTTTTGTTCTGCCTGTTCTTGGACCAGCTGAAATGGAAGCAGCGTTTGCCTGGGATATCAGAGAAAGGCTTTGTTTCACTCTACCAAAATTGTGTTGAAGTTTTCCTTCATTTTACGTAAGACTAAGTTAAAATTTAAACAGATTTTAATAAACAGCTCTCCGAACTTCAGTCTTCAAATGAATTACAAGTAATCTCCCAAATGAATTGTATTTAACAAATCAAATATGCTTTTGTATCAACTAGAAAGTCCACTGATTGTTAGTTATTGAACCAGATATGTACTGCAAGGCAAAATGAATAGTCTGAAAAGCAGTGAACTGCAATTAAAGGTGTGACATTTATAGCTTGTTTGGAGACAGGTATTCATAAATAGGGAACCATAGATGCGGGGAGTGTTCCAGTATGCTCCCAAGAGATTAGTTTTAATTGGTCAAATAACATAATAAACCTCTTTTAACTCTTCTCTCTTTTTCTGAACAGGGGACACTTTTGATAGTCTCTTAAAAATGTATATACATCCTTTGTAGGAAATATCTGTATCTTCATACATACCTAAATAGCACAGGATTAGTGGTAATTATGTAAAAAGCACATAGTGTAAACTGCTGAAAAATTTAACTGACTACAGCAAAATATTGTTAATAAAAAATGATTTTTAAAAATTCTATGAGTTTGTACACCCAGAATAAACAGCTGGCATTTTTCAATAGCACAGCTGGTACAGGAACATAAAATTACTAGCATTTGAACGGGACATGAGCTATATTTGGCAAAACATATTGCATGTAAGCTGAAAATTTGCAATTTAATTTTTCTTTCAGTGGAAATTGAAATGACCAGCGTTGTACACTGGTTAACTGCCAGTCTGAACCTGCTCCTATGGATTTCAGTATAAGTCATTGTGGTTGTCTTTAATGTGCCAGGATACAGCACATGTAGATTATTTCTACTTCAGATGTGCAAAATGTGCTTCTCTAGTTGAAAATGCTAGCGAACAGTGCACTCTTACTAAGCTGCTGAGATATATATGTGTGTGTATATATATATATATATACACATATGTATATTCACACATATAGTTGTTGCTTGGAGTTTGCACCTGAAGATGAAATAACTTTAGGAAATATTTTGTATTCACTCTTATTAGTAGTTATTCCCTTCTTTTGTTCAGTGACATGTGGACATACCTCCCAAACGAATAAGATCTAAAATAAAATATTCAACTTCTGGGGTGAAAAATTCCCTAAGACACAAAACTTTCTTTCAGTTCTCAACCCGCTGTTAACCGTAACAATTTTTTGCACACAGATATGGATTTGGTTTGGGAAGTAACGATGGCTTTCACAGCTGGCCTGACACTTTGCTTCTCTCCTGTAGTTTTGTGTTTTGCTTTCAAGACGAACTGCATCTCTGATGTGATTCAACCCCCAATTAAAATGACCCTTGGAACCAATTTAGAAAGCAATATAAGAGTGTTATGGTAGAGCGGACCACTTTGGATAGCTCTGTGATTTTAACAGCTCTGTACCTATTGGTGCCTCACCAATCATTAGATAAAATCAGTCTTGCAGATTTTGCTGCTGTTCCTTCTTGTAATGAATCAATCGTGTTGTTTCAGCAGACTGATTGACCTTTTGCATAGGTAAAAATAGTTTAGCTTTTGCAGGCTGTTTTCAAAAGCTGCTTTTCTTTCTGGAGCTCCTTGCTGGGCTTTGTGCCTCGGGGGCTGCCGTTTCAGAGTAAGTCCACAGCTCAGAAAAGAGCTTCCTTGCACTTGGGGGATTTCCAGACGGCAAAGCGAGTGCAGGGGTACCCAGTTTGCTCTCAACATCTTAGCTGAGATCATAGCAGTCAAGTAATGTGTTGAGCTCCACATGTGTTAATATATACTGCTTTTCAGCCGGGTTACAGGAGAGTTGATGCCCGCTCCGTGGTGGCCGGGGTGGCTCTGCGGGACACCGAGCCGCGTCGCCTTGCAGCTCCCTGCGCTCCTCTCTGCTCTTCTCACTTTCCTTGTGGATTTTCCCAGAAGTCAAAACCAGCAGTGCTCTCTTTGCATGACCCTTTTTCACAATGTCACCATTTCAGCAGAAAACAGCTATTTGGGGATTATAAACTGCAACTTTCATACTGGTAATTGTGCAACATAAGAGACAGAATTCTAAGTTCCCTTTCGTAGTGGTAGTTTATCTTCTTCCTGCGTATGGCTGTCAAGGCAAAGAGGACACTTGGTTCAGTGGCAGAAGATGGTCCAACTCTGTAATGATATCAACTCTGTCTGATTGGTGTGTCAGGTTTTAAATTCCAGAGCTTATTTTCTGAGACAGTATTTTCCAGAAAAGCCACATTTCCTTCCAGAGAAAATGTCCTTTAGGTGGTGGGTAGTGAATGCTAGAAGGCAGGAGAGCCTGTCCCTTTTGCTTGCAGAGTTCTAGCCCAGGGAATCAGAAGTCCTGCAGGGAAAATGAGAGTTGGAAAGAAAAACTGTTCCAAAAAGGGGGCCTGGTAGGAGCCAGTGCAAACCTGCCAGTATACAAGCATCAAATGCTAGCACATTGTCCCTTCCTCTGTGCTAGTTAAACCAATCGAGGAGAGTTAGTGATGAGGAAGACAAATCACATTGTCGGAATGTGAGCTTGTGTCGTGCAGAAGATTTTCTGAAATTGTTCTTAATAACCGTGCATCCCCACCCACGCACTGAGGCCCTCGGGAGGCCGCGCACGGGCCGGGTGCTCCCTCCGCCCGGCTCGCGGCCGCGGCGCTCGTCCATCGAGAACACGGGGACAGCTTAGCAGTTACTGCAGGTTTATATGAAGGGAAGTACAGAATTACAGTCGTGCAGAACTGGAACGTGCATTCATTTGTCCACTTCTTTTGTAACAGTTTAAGTGAGACTTAAATACAGATCGTGTAGTAGCAAAACTGCCTGAATGAAGTCTGGAAATATATTCTACAGTGAACACACTTGTCTTCCAAAGTCTATGGCTTGAAAACAGATCACAAAACCATCAGTCAATTTTAAGCACCGTTTTTTTATTAATCAGACATCATTCCATAAATCAAAAGTACTTAAGCAGCTTCCTGCTGTGGTGCCATTGGATTTATACTGCATTATTGCAGTGTGGTTAGGTTCAGCTGAGGATGAAGAGGGTCCATTTTATTTTGTTGCTAGAATTAAATCTTAATTAAATTGTGATCAATGACAAAATTCATGTTGCTGTAAAAGGAGGTGGAATTTTGCCCTTTATCCATAGCTGGCTCCACATCTGTGCGTGAATACAAACCTGCCTCGGTTTTGTTGCTGCTGTAATTCTTCCTTCTTTCCGCTTCACCTTTGTGATTTCCTGAGAACAGGCCTGGAAGCCACTGGCACGTTTTAGCGTGATTCATTGTGTGAGAAATATTTTCCACTGTCAGAGTACAGTACTCTCAACAGCCATTAACTTTAATAGGTATAAAAGACATCCAGCAGCCCCCGGCTTCAGGCTTCTGGCTGCAGGGAGGGCGCTCGC